TTAAACATCTCCTTATCGGAGCAAACGTGTCGGGTGGCACCGGTGTCTATCCACCATTCTCTCGGATTTGAACCCACCAGGTTCACTTCAGAAATGACAGCTGCAAGGTTGATGTCAGATACATCTTCAACCATATTTGCTTCTTTTTTCTTCTTTGGCAAACGGCACTCCGTAGACTTGTGACCAATCTTGTCACAATTGAAGCATTTCCCTTGAAACTTCTTCTTGGAGATTCCACCTTTTGGCCCCAACTTGGGCCCTTTGCCACCAGATGGCCCAAACTTGTTCTTATTGGTCTTGGAGCTTTGGCCATGCTCCACAACATTAGCTTTAGCCACAACCGGATTGAACCCTCTTTCAGAACTTTTGTTGTCTTCTTCAATTCGAAGTCTAACAATTAGTTCCTCAACGTTCATTTCCTTTCGCTTGTGTTTTAAGTAGTTTTTGAAATCCTTCCATGCAGGAGGTAGTTTCTCAATTATGCAAGCCACTTGGAAGGATTCACTCACAACCATTCCCTCGGAATGAATTTCATGCAAGATCACTTGTAATTCTTGTACTTGACTGATTATAGATTTGGAGTCCACCATTTTGTATTCCAAAAAGCGGCCAACAAGAAACTTCTTGGCTCCGGCATCTTCGGTTTTGTACTTTTTGTCCAAAGACTCCCATAATTCCTTAGCCGTTTTTATTGTGCAGTACACATTGTACAATGAATCAGCTAAACTGTTCATCACATAATTCCGGCACAGGAAATCAGAATGCTTCCAAGCATCCACTGCACTGATTGCTTGAATGTCTCCTTGACCCTCTTGAAGCACTGGAGCATTTTCAGTCAAGAATCTCGCAAGATTCAAGGTCGTGAGGTAAAACAACATTTTTTGTTGCCACCTCTTGAAATTCGAACCATTGAACTTCTCCGGCTTTTCCCCGTGATTAACCGGGACTGTCACAGTTGGACCAGTAGCCAGACTTGGCATGGGAGCCACAGTCTTAGTCCCACTTGGACCAGCAGCTAAGCTTGGCATATTAGCCACAGTTTGTGTTACTGGAGCCACCACTTGAGCCACATCAGAACCTGGCAAAGCCACAGCCTGAGCCACAGGAGGCACAATTTCGTTTGCAGATCCCACAACGTTATTGGTAGGTGTATTTTCCATTTTCTGAAACACAATCAGAAAAATTAGTACGAAAATATTGCTTTAAGATTGTAGGTAGACTCTGAACAGTTAACTGAATTAGAAGAAGTAATAGACAAATTGCAGTGGACAGAAAAAGAAAATATTGCAGTTGACTGAAGATAAAATTGGCGAGGTCTGTAGGTAAACTCTGAACAGTTAACTGAATTAGATGAAGTAATAGTCAAATTGCAGTGGACAGAAAAAGAAAATATTGCAGTTGACAGAAGATAAAATTGGCGTCTTTGAAGCCGGGGCCTGTGTCGAACACAGTGTCCTTAAAGCAATATTCGCCCCCTCACCGAAGTAATGCGAGCGCTTGCTTCCCAGGATACAGCGGCGTGAACTGTAGTTTGTACAGTCGAACTGAACGAGTGTGCCGGAACGGAATCACCAAGTGACTGTAAGACGACAAGAATTTGAAAAGGAAGCAGAAAGATTTCGGGCTGTTGTGGTGTGTCTGAACTGAAGAGATTGTTCGGGATATATAGGCAAGGAGGAGCTTTTGCCTCTTAATACAGTCATAACTCTGCTATTGAATTCTCACGTTTTGGAGTTACAAAAATAAATGAAAACAGTTTTCAAGTTATGTTTTAAATGGAAAAACGTAAAAGAAAATTTTCAAAACGTGGCTTGCACTTGGTGGCCAATTTTTGACTCATTCGGTCCGACATTCGTGTACGCAGGTCGCGCCCGCACACAAATTCAAGGCTCGAAGGCCAAGTCGGTCCAAGATTTGCACCCCCCCTGCGGGCGCGTAGGCCACGGAGGAGTCTCTATGCAACAAATGGTTACACCTTACAAATTGTTAACCATATATAAATTGGTCCAAAAACTTATTCTTATCCTATGTGGGATAACTATTTAAGTTTTCCCACTTGCCACTTTCTTTTTTCTTTTTCCAATGTGGGATGGTACTATTTATAGTCCCCATATATTCCCACTTTTCCATTTCTAACCAATGTGGGATTGTTAATCCCTTTTAAGGCTCCTCTTCAAATCCCAACTTTCAATCAATGTGGGATTAATTTCACATACACAAGTGAAAATTCATTTGCCAAATAATATATTTTCCAACAATCCCCCACATGAATGGAAATTAATAGAGACACGGAATACTTGGTGACAAAGTTCCACAGTTGAAACCTGCATAGGATAGGTAGGTGTTACCCTTTGAACCTCCCCTTATGAAAATACATTTACTTTACTAGCTGATCAGTAGACGTGATGTCTTTGAACTGTTCTGCGTTTTGTGTAAACGATGATGTACCTCACACAGGATTCTTCCTAACACAATTCAGTTCTCATGGTTATGTTCGTTTGTGGCCATGAACATATGCCTGGTTCAGTGAGAGTTATTAAGAATTGAGCCTCACAATTCCCTTCGAAGCGGCCCCACTTCTTTCTCACATAGGTGATTTCTTAATTAAGAGTAACCCGCATTACTCCGCTCGGATTTTCGACGCATAAGAATCATTAAAAGCCTTATTGCTTATCCTCTTCCCACGGGCATCACTATTATTACAGGAATGGACCGGAAATAACCCCCACAGTGATATAGTTAAGTATTTGCAATTAGGTTTTCTCATTGAACCTAGATCTTGGGATCTCCAGTCAGCTAGGTTGAGTTTCCACTACAATAACTTATTCTTTTAGAGGCTTAAGTCCCATTCCTTTTGATGACTTTGCAACTAACTCTCTATTTAACCCTTTGGTTAGCGGATCCGCAATGTTATCTTTAGACTTTACATAGTCAATAGAGATAACTCCAGTTGAGAGTAACTGTCTTATGGTATTATGTCTACGACGTATGTGTCTAGACTTACCATTGTACATGTTGCTTTGTGCCCTTCCAATCGCAGATTGACTATCACAATGTATGCAAATTGCTGGCACAGGTTTAGACCATTTTGGAATATCCTCTAAGAAATTGCGTAGCCATTCAGCCTCTTCACCACATTTATCTAGAGCTATAAACTCAGATTCCATGGTAGACCTCGCAATAACTGTTTGTTTAGAGGATTTCCATGATATGGCTGCACCTCCCAAAGTGAACACAAATCCACTAGTAGACTTTGAGTCTTTAATATCAGATATCCAATTCGCATCAGTATATCCTTCAATAACAGCAGGATATCTGGTATAGTGTAGTCCATAGTTACGAGTATATCTCAAGTATCTTAGTACTCTTACTATTCCTTTCCAGTGGTCAGACCCTGGATTACTAGTATATCTACTCAGCTTACTAACTGCATAAGCGATATCTGGTCTTGTACAACTCATTAGGTACATAAGACTTCCGATTATTCTAGAGTACTCTACTTGAGAAATACCATCGCCTCTATTTTTCGATAGATGTTGACTTGTATCTATCGGTGTTCTAGCCACGCCAGTATCATCATTATTGAATTTTTCCAAAATTTTGTCCACATAATGTGACTGACTTAGAACGAGTCCATCCGATGTTCTTGAAATTTTAACTCCAAGAATCACATCAGCTAAACCCATATCCTTCATGTCGAATCTTGAATTCAACATATTTTTAGTAGATTTAATCATCTTATCGTTGCTACCAACGATGAGCATGTCGTCAACATAAAGACATAAAATAACATAACCATTTCCTGTGTCTTTAATGTAAACGCATTTGTCACATTCATTGATTTTAAATCCACTTTCCATCATGGCATTGTCAAATTTTTCATGCCATTGTTTTGGTGCTTGTTTTAAGCCATATAATGACTTTACCAATTTACATACCTTGTTTTCTTGTCCTGGTGCAGAAAACCCCTCAGGTTGTTCCATGTAAATTTCTTCTTCTAAATCTCCATTTAGAAAAGCAGTTTTGACATCCATTTGATGTACTTCGAGATTGTACAAAGATGCAATCGCTAATATCATTCGAATGGAAGTTATTCTCGTTACCGGAGAATAGGTGTCAAAGTAGTCAATGCCTTCTCGTTGCCTATAACCTTTAATTACAAGTCTGGCCTTGTACTTATCAATAGTTCCATCTGCTTTCATTTTCCTTTTGAAAATCCATTTGTAGCCTAGTGGTTTGCTTCCCGGGGGAAGATCAACCAGCTCCCATGTATGATTTTGTAGAATGGAATCTATTTCACTTTTAATGGCTTCTTTCCATTGAGGACCTTCTGAAGAGTTTACAGTTTCTTTGAAACTTTGAGGAAATTTTCAACAGACTTTTGGTTTTCTGAAACTCCCGTGTTAATTGTCATTTGTTAATGTGCAGGTTACGAGAGTCAACCTTTATTTATGTGTCGTTTAAGTTAGTTTTTCCACTATCCAATACACGAAAAATTCTCCCATTCTTTTCCTGCTCCTTCAGGTAGAGCTGTTAAACTGTTGATATTGTTTTATTCATTTTGTTTCTTCTTAATGTTGCAGCAAGCCAAACAAATGTCCATTATTTGTGATCAATAAGCATCAATGGTTAATCATATGCAAACGTATCCTCTTATCATTCTTCTGTTGTTACATGTATTTATGCATTAGTGTGAAATGGACACATTACAAGAATGTATCCAATTGTATTCATTTTCAAGTTTGAGGAAGCATAAATATGGCCTATCATTTTTCCTCTAAATGCTTGCCTTTAAATTTCATATTGCATATAAACTAGCTGACGAGTAGTAATTTGACATAGGATTCATAAAGAATTTCAAGTCACGATAATCAACCAATTGTTGTACTGCATACAATTATCAGCTCTCTTCTTCTCATCATCCTACATGAATCTATGTTTAGACTTTTCTTTACTCTCTAATATAAAGTACAAGGAGAACTGCCTCAGATAACTCTCAAATGGAATTTGAAGCCAAGTCTGCAAGGGATGGTGCATGGTTAGTGTTCTGGGAAATTTCTTTAGTTACTTGTTGCAGACTTGTTAGTTGCTTGCACATACTTTGGACGAATGGCGATAATTCTTACTAACTTCCTCTCCTTTTCAGGTATGACATCTCAACCTTCCTATCGCATAGGTCTTTAGAGACAAGTGATCCGGTAATTCATGATGCTTGTTTTTCCTTTTCAAATACATATTCTTTGCTCTTAGTTTGTTATTTGCTGTTTGTTTGCTGGCAAGTGTACTAGTATCAGAGTGTGTAGCAGTTCTCCCTGGAGATTTTGTACTCTGCTTTCAGGTGGAGTCTATACGTATAATCTCTAGACCAATGTAGTAAGTTGTTCATTAAAAAAGCCTAGGTTTGTTAGTGTTAGGATCTTCAGAATCATCACTTACGGTTCTTAATATGTTCTAGGAAGGAAAAGAGCAGACCCTCTACTTCGATGCACAAAGGCGGAGGCATGATGTAAGAGGTTGTCATTGTAGATTTCTGGTGCGATATGACCATGATCAGGCTGAGGTATGCAACTGTTTTGTTTGTAATGTACAAGAAGATAATAAAGACGGTACACAGAATACAATTGCGTGTTTCAGTGCACTTCATGTTCTTGAATTTGATTGATTCTCTCTATATATACAGGAGATTGTGCCCCTAAGAAAGATTTGTCGTCGCCCTGAAACTGATTGCAGATTGCAGGAATTTCATGCGGGTCAGCATCTGCTGGAAACCCACAGATAGCAACTGTTGCTGGAACGCCCCAAAAGCAGCCCAAGCCAGAGGATGCCGCAGGCATTGGAGCCACATCAGCTTCTGTCCCTCGTACCAATATTTCTTCATCTGATTATAGGTTGCAGGAACTTCATGCTGAGTCTGCATCTGCTGGGAATGCACAGATAGCAGGTTCCATTGCAACCCCTCAAAAACAGCCCAAGCCAGACTGCCAGAGGAGCCTGCAGGCACCGAAGCCACATCTGCTTCTTTTCCTCCTACCAATGAATCTAAAGCACCATCATCCATAATTTCACAATATTGATTCAAACCCTACTCGAAGTGAACTTGCTATGGCTAATAGCACTGCTACGAACAATTTTCATGGAGGCTCTGATTCGAGTATGCAGCAAGGGTAGCTTAGGATGAACACTTAAAACTGTTTTTATTAATGTTTCTTTGTCTTTACTAGCTACTAGTAAAAGGCAATGCATTAGCCTGTGCATATTATTGGATAGCAGCATGTATTGCATTTGAACTGTCATTTCATTAATGACCATTTCGATGGGGGAAAAAGGGAATTTATGGGCACAATCGAGAATGAGAAACGAGTGGTAAAGTGAACAACAATGACAATGATATTGTATAATTGTAAAGGAAAAGGAATAAAGCAAAGGCTTACCATTTACTTTTCTATACCAACTTCAATGAAAAGATAACGGAGAGCATTTAAAAATATTTTAAACATAGGGAGGTATGATGCAATTTTGTTATACTCAAAATTGAGATCTATTATCCACTCAATAATTTATTAACACATTGCTCTAATTTAACATGTTCAATTTTTTTTTTTATTGTCACCTATGTTTAAAAGAATAATGCTTTGTGTACAATTCATGGTGGACAAGGAATTTGACAATCCATGTTAATTCAAATTTAAATAGGCGGGAAAGTATGTGGTGTTCAACATGTGGCACATTGTCAAACTTGATGTCAAAAAAATTGTACTTGTAACATAGTTGCGTTTAAAAGTAGACATAAAATAATGTATGGATGAACAGCAAGTTGAACCCGGCCACGCAATTTGAGAAGGGTCCACCGATGCCCAAATCCCTTCTGCGGATAATAACACATACACGTCACCCAATATCTGTATCTCGTGTATATATATTAAAACTCCAATCTCCGGCTTCTCCATTTGAGAATTTTTAGTTTTGCCTGTAGATATACATACTCATATATAAACATAAATTCGTGATTTTCATGCATTTTTACTTGTTAGAATAGGACTGAAATTGCATCGTTCGTTCTTTTAAATATATTTTTTACAGTATAATTAAGGATGCGGTGGCTATTGCGTAAGAGAAATGGAGAAGCGTTTATTAGAATTGGAAATAAATGGAAATTAGGGTTTGTGGAGTGTAATCGGACTGTGGTGACGAGCTGCAGAGCGGTACTATTGCCCCGATTCGGCGGGCCGGAGGTGCTGGAGCTCCGAGATAATGCTCAGGTGCCCGATCTCAAGTCCAACGAGGTCCTCGTTCGCGCTCGTGCTGTTTCCGTCAATCCCCTCGATACCAGAGTCAGTCCCATTTTCGCTTACCGTTAATATATCAGTCAGTTCTTTTTTTTTCGATTGCGTGTCCAAGTACGAAACTAGATTTTTTGTTTTTGTAAAATGAGGTTAAATCAATCGGTAGTACTCGAGATACAAAATTACGGATGAAAGTTGATAAACGATTAGCATTTCCTTGATGATTATTGTTATACAATCCAAATTAGAAATTCTCTGTGATTTATATACTGAAAATGAAAAAACGAATATTGTGGGAGCTCAGATAGTTTGGGAGTAATGTAGCCATTCTACAAAGTTGTCAATTTTTTTTAAAGTAGGTTATAGCTTGATGCTATTTCCTACTAATTTATTGTTTTTCGTTGTGGAATTTTTGGGGCTTCCACAATTTTAATATGCTTCCTTGGTGATCGAGTGAGAATTGGGAGTTACTGATCCGATTTTAATAAACTATTAGGTTAGACCAAGAGATGAGTAAATATATATTGCATTTGTCTTTTGAAATGTGGCATGTCACTGAATTTTCCCCGGAAAGATGAGTGAATCATTGTTTGTTTATTATGGGAGTTAGTACGCGCACTTTATATTGACATTAGAGAATAAATAATTTAACATCAAATGTGCTTTCTTCTAGTTTCATACTTTGAGTACTAGTTCTTTGTGAACAAACAAAAGATCAATCGCTCACTCGACCACTGAAAAATTGATCTTATGTTTTTTGACTCCCAATGTTCACTTGACCACAAAGAAGCATATGAAAATTGTGAAAGCTCAGAAATTTCAAAACTAAGCCCCATGTTTGGTAGAAATTAAAATCAGATTTCTAGTAAATTTTGATAAAAGTTGATGATATGTGTTGTTGAAAAGTTGTGGTCCTATAAAATGTGTAGTTAAAATTAATTGTTGACTTTGACTTGAGATTTTAATCCACTACAAATTACAAGACCCGTGCTCGTGTGGGCTTTGGCCCAACCTAACCAAACAGGGACTAAGATAGTAAATTAGTGACAAGTAACATTCTGATTCTGCAAAGCCTGTTTCGAAAGAAATTGACAGTTTACTGAAGTTGCTACATTTTCATATCAAGTAGTCGTATTTTTATAATTTTTCATTGATTTGGATGCATTTAACGATCTACCACATTAATTTTATTTCTTCTTTTTCAGTATATCAACCACGTGAGAAACTAGGAGCTTGAACACATGATGTCCTTCCAACTCTACAATTAAATTAAACGAAATCATTCTCACCTAAGATGTTAGGGAGCGGACAAATGTATTATCTAAATTTTGTCTCCAATAGAAGATAATGTTAACCATAGTTAATATTTCTCATGATAACTTTTGGTGTTTGGTTTAATTCTCAACTACGTGGTATGAATCATTACGGTAAGATTTACTAAAGGTTAATTAAAATTTACGACAATTTGGTGGCAAGAGTTTTAGCTTCCTTCCATACGAGAGTAGTTGCGGGATGTGTTCATGTTGTTTTTGTGTTTGAACTAGGAAGACATTCCAGTAAACGGTGTCATGCTATTCTTTATGCTAATTACAAGGATATTTAAATTTTAAACTTTCTTAAGATTAATTTACTGATCATTATGATACTCAAAGAGATCTAGTGCTCATGAGAAAACAACAGAATTGGAAAAAGAATATAAGTAGATTCAATATCTGACAGACTCCAGTTCAAGTTCAAGTTCAAATTAAATGAATATTAATAATATAGGAATGGGCGCAGAGTTGCGGATCTGGAGCAAGAATTCAAGAACAAAGATCTCTAATTGAAATACCTCACTGAATTTGAAATATAGTTGAAAAATCATTGTATTTATTACTGTAGATTTGATTTATTATTACTTTATTGATTTTTTATCTTTTCAAATTGTATCTCAAGTTGCTTGAAAAGACTTCTGACAAAATAGGTAATCCTATATTTAAAATTGTGAGAGCTTTTACCTGATATGCAACTTTGTATTGCCTGCTATATTTTAAGTTTGTATCCACAGAAACTAGTTATTTATAGTGAATACTTCACCTTAAGATCTCTGCTACAAATTTCAATATTTTTCAGATGCGATCTGGTTATGGTCGTTCGTTGTTTGAACCACTTCTGCCATTGATTTTGGGCCGTGATATAAGTGGAGAAGTTGCTGCTCTTGGAGGTTCTGTCCGCTCATTCAGTGTTGGTCAGGAAGTGTTTGGTGCACTGCATCCAACTGCCTTGAGGGGTACTTATACTGATTATGCAGTACTTGCAGAAGATGAACTAACTTCAAAGCCAGCATCAATTTCACATGTGGTAAGTCTTGGAGTATGCAGCTATTTATGGGAACATTCAATTGTTCACGACTGTCTTTCTTTTGCCCAGAAGCTTTGTTTTGGCTCTGTGATTAGGAATCTCAAAATACAGTATATGCGGACTGGGAAATTGGTAGCTTCGTATATTATGATTAGTAATTTTTTACATCTAGTCCTCAATCCGTACAATAGTGAGCCTTCGGGTCCTCGTTCAATTTTTCTTGGCAAATGAGGCCCAACTTTCAATCTTGTAGCATGTAGGCCCCAGAGGTACATTCTGCTCGAAAATACCATTACGACATTACACATAATCGCATGTGATCAGGTGCTCATTTATGTATAGATTGGGGACCGTGAATGCAACTTTCCCACATCTAAGGTTTATAATGGGTTTTAAAGGCATGTCCTTTCTCCTTATTGCTGCAGTTCAAATTACTGGGGTCCAACACTCCATTGCATCTGCCTCTTGTTTACCCTAAGTTGACTTTTTCACTGTTATTTATGTTTTGGGAAGGAAGCAAGTGCAATTCCTTTTGCTGCCTTGACTGCTTGGCGTGCGCTAAGAAGTACCGCAAGAATTAAAAATGGGTACGTTTTTAATGCTCTCAAATAAAACTCTCTGGTTGCCCTTTTTGTGCTTTTAGGCATGTAATGAATAGCGAGTTGGAATAATGCTACCAAATACATCTGCTGTCTCCCCTTGGTTGTTTACAATTTGTAAGATTCAGTAAGCTGGTCATCTAACAAGTAGGCGTTTTGAGGCCATTACAATGAAATTAACAATTTTTTTAAACTTTGTGGCGTGATTCAAGGAAATAAACATTTGAAATTGAAGTTGCATGACTCTTATTATTTTGCAGGTCCATTGAGATTGGTTAGATGATTTGATCATGAAATGTGCATATTACACACATGGTTGCTTTCAGTATCTTATATTTCTGTGATGCTTATTACTAGGAACAAGAACACGATTGAATCAAGCACAATCATTTATTTTTTTGATCTGTTGTTTAAGCATGAAAATCAGTCGTTCACAAGTAATGCACTAGTTTTGCTGCTTAAAAATACATTTGTAGACTTTGTTTTTATCTCGTGAGGTATGCAGAAGAAGATCTAAAGTTTCAGTTAAGTTCTTAAGCAGACCGACAGGGTTCGAATGAGTTAATTGTTACAAAGATACAATTATTGGGAGAGAATGAATATGAGATCATTGTAGCATGCCTTTATAGAAAGTGGTGTTCATAACTTTTCTATCTTTGAACGAGAATAAACTATTCAAATGGTTGATTTATTATATCTTTACAGGCAGCGGGTATTAGTAGTGGGTGGTGGAGGAGCTGTAGGTTTTTCTGCAATTCAGCTTGCTGTGGCTGCAGGTTGCCATGTTTCAACCACATGTGGAGGTGAAAGTGTAGATCGTCTCTTGGCAGCTGGTGCT